TGTAGTAAAACAAAATTTGCCGACATAAGATTTAGTAATATCAAAAGACGATGCATCAGAAGGATTGTCTTATTAATACCTCTAAATAACATATATGAATACCATGTCTCTGAAGGAATTGAACCAATAACAGTTGAAAACTTGCTGGGTTATTGAGATTTTGTAATAAAGGACTTCATTGTAAGAAAAGTATACCATCTTTATTATATAACTGATTAAACAAATAATTTTGCTGTCAAACCAATAAAAAAAAGAGATTTGCATTTGTATGAACTGTCTATTATTCCAAAATAACAACAATGTAGGGATAAATCATGCTTATAGATTAATGACCATGATGAGCACTTGTTTGTGGAAGGCAGATAGCTTAACTGGAGTTTTGTCTATATTATAGTTACTCATCAAAATAAACCATAGACCACCAGTCTTTAATGAAACATAATAATCTCCGCTTTGAAGTGCATTCAGCATACGAGCGTACTCCCGCATATAACTTGAAATGGCATTCAACCCCCTTTAATATTGTCATCCATGATTTTCCCTGTCCTTCGTCTTTCGGGAGATCCTGGTCATTAAAGTAAGAGTGTCGTTTTTGAGTTGGAGCAGCTGGGAACGCGGCAATCACAGCGATGAGATGACCCTGCCATTCTTTCTTGCTCCGTCGCATTGAAACCGGATGTTGTGGTACACTGCTTCGCTTACCGGAACCAGGAAGTGTGAAAAAGGCCTATTATATACAATAGTGATGTGACGTTGTGCGCCGAGGCTTCGAAGCATGTATCAAAAAAACGATACATCTCGCAGTGAAGCAGTGTACCGGAGCTTGATTCGTTTTGCCATCATCACGTGATCAGTGACGTCCGAAGCTTCATTTTCGCCTATACCCACGTGACTGCTTCGAATTTTGATTCAAAGGTTTAAACATCCTCATAGTAAAGTGTATAGCGAGAGAATTGGCGTCGATTACATACATTTGTTTCAAAGCACTGCACCAGTCCCACACACCAGTAATTAAACTAAAATACAATAGTAATTTTTAGTAATAAGGTTTTGAACCATACTAAAGTGTATTAGCGTATTTTTTACGACTATCTTTAAAAAAAACCCACCGCATATCGTAGTATTGTGTTTAACAGAGACCATCTGGTGAGTGCGACCCTGAAGCATCATTCACATAGCCTCCTACAGCACTCGCGTCCCAATCGGGAGACGCTGACTCGATCCCCGCTTGGAGCAGGACTGATTGTATTATGATAAACTTTTGAATACCTTGGATTTTACTACAATCATCAGTTGTGTAATGTAATATATCTTGTGTAAAAACTACAGTAATTGAGTAATTTGTTTATATTGCTGTTTTTGTATTACTACATGAATGAGTTGGTCAGTTGTTAACATTTGACATTATGGCAACACAGTGCTTTCACACACTTTCACCAGAAGAGGTACTCATCGAGCTCTGATTTAGAAAGCTTCGAGTAACGAACCTTTTTCCGATACAATTAAGTCGAGCGCTTCACTGGTTCAGAAAGCTTCATTTCACCATCACTAATATACAATCGATTATGAAAATGATTGACACGTAGCTCCGCAGAAAGAAAGATGGTTCGTTTTGTCGCGCGCACGAGACAGGTACCCCCTGCAGTGAGCTATGGAAGTAAATTGCGCATGCGCCAGAAGCTTATTAGGCGCATGCGCCATAAAGAAGGGCACGCATCAACGCAAAACTAAGAATTTTGTATTAGTTCAACGAAATATTTTAAGTTTTTCACATTGAAGCACCATATTTGTTGAACAAACTAACTATTATTTGTCAGCATTTCAAATGAAAATATTTAAATTCAGTTAACTTATTAATCTTTGTTCAGAGGACTTTTTGAAAGTTGGCGTTTTTACAGTGTATTGAAGAGAATGAAAAAGAAACTGAAAATAGAAAAATAAAAGTTTTTTGAAAAATGGATGAAGATAAGATTAGTATCAATGATTGTCCTATCAAGATGTTTTATACATGTTTGTGTAACACTGTGTTTAAAAAACCTAAATCAAGAGAATTTTGGGAAAAGTTATTTGAAAACTTTGATACTTCAAATATATGGAAAAATGTAAGATCAATTTTAAAAAGTCCAGCATTGGAAAACTTAGATTTTATGTTAAGACCCAACTGCATAATGACAGAGATTATCTTTAAAAAGATTGGGGTATCACAAGATGATTTGTGTAAAGTGTGTTTGGAAAAAAAGGAAGGTGTGTTACACCTATTTTTAAATTGTAAAAAGAGTGATTTTATGAAGATGTTGAAAACAATGGTGTGCAATTTTCTGTATGATGAAAACATTATTTTAGAAGAATGGGATACACTGTTTTTATTTGGTTTTAATGGGAAAACAAAAAATAGGTTTGCTCTTAATTATATGTTGACTCTTGCAAGATATACAATATGGAAAAGAAGAAATATTATGAAACAAAAGAAAAAAAAAATTTCCATTGGTTTTGTTGTATAAACAGATTGTGACTGAGGAAATAATGGTTATATATGACTATTGCAAAATGTATGAAAAGATGGACATTTTTGAAAAATGTATTACAAAAAATAATCCATATATTGTACAAACTTGGACTGGTTTTAAAGTTTTCTTACCTGGAGATTTTTAAATATTTTATCTTTTAAATATTTGTATGTATAAATGTCATGATTGTTGATGATGTATTTTTTAATGAAGAAAAAAAAAAAAAAAAAAAGCTTGAATCTGCTCAGGAGCAAGTGTCTTTCCCACGATTAGATTGCAGCATCTTAACAAAGTCTGCACTGGAAGTCTCTCTTTGCCAATGCTCCTTTTAGCAAGAGCACCCTATTGAAACAGGAACAGTAAAGATTCACAATTAGAGTAGTAATACTCTATAACTGGATTTGAATATAATAACAACAACAATGTGGGGTCTGCTGTGATGGAATCAGTAACTTTCACTCTTTTGTGAAATAACAGTTACCTTGTAATCAGGTGCTTAAATGCATCGCAGCTGGCTGCCGTAAGGAGAAGTCTTCAAATGCCTTGAGGTGTGCTCAAATAGAGACAGAACTGTGGTTGACAGGAAGGTGGGAGTGCTTCCTAAGCTGGTATTAAGGAGGTCTCTTTCTTTGTGGAGGAGCTCCAGCTAGGCATGGCTAAATTGAACTGATTTCCCAGAGCTGTTGCGCTACTTGAAACAAGTTGGTGTCGAAACTGCTCAGGGAAAGCAGCTTTGTAAGGTAGCGTGGCCGAGCGGTCTAAGGCGCTGGATTAAGGCTCCAGTTTCTTCGGGGGCGTGGGTTTGAATCCCACCGCTGCCAGATATGGTTTTAAACAAGGCCAAACTGCTTGAGTGTGTGCGCGTTCGCAGTGAACGCTGGAAATGAGAGAGTAAAAAAATTTAAGTTGGCAACTAGTCAGTATAATGTGTTCTTTGGAACTCACAGCAGACTCGTTGGTGTGACAGCAACACATCCCCAAGCTCGAATCTGCTCAGGAGCAAGTGTCTTTCCCATGATTAGATTGCAGCATCTTAACAAAGTCTGCACTTGAAGTCCCTCTTTGCCATTGCTCCTTTTAGCAAGAGCACCCTATTGAAACAGGAACAGTAAAGATTCACAATTAGAGTAGTAATACTCTATAACTGGATTTGAATATAATAACAACAACAATGTGGGGTCTGCTGTGATGGAATCAGTAACTTTCACTCTTTTGTGAAATAACAGTTACCTTGTAATCAGGTGCTTAAATGCATCGCAGCTGGCTGCCGTAAGGAGAAGACTTCAAATGCCTTGAGGTGTGCTCAAATAGAGACAGAACTGTGGTTGACAGGAAGGTGGGAGTGCTTCCTAACCTGGTATTAAGGAGGTCTCTTTCTTTGTGGAGGAGCTCCAGCTAGGCATGGCTAAATTGAACTGATTTCCCAGAGCTGTTGCGCTACTTGAAACAAGTTAGTGTCGAAACTGCTCAGGGAAAGCAGAGTTGTAAGGTAGCGTGGCCGAGCGGTCTAAGGCGCTGGATTTAGGCTCCAGTCTCTTCGGGGGCGTGGGTTCGCATCCCATCGCTGCCAGGCAGCCCTTTTAGGATGCTTGAGAATGACCTCTCTGCTTGAGCAAACAGACTTGCGAAGAGATACTGCATGCTTCCGCTCACATCCAAATGTAGACTCCTTGGCCAAAGCTGAAGGGCTTCACTAGGAAGCTCTGCGTCCTCTCTGCTGTTCTGCTTCGGTAAAATTGGGCAGAAAAGGGACCACTGCAGCAGTTCATCTATGGTAGCGTGGCCGAGGGGTCTAAGGCGCTGGATTTAGGCTCCAGTCTCTTCGGGGGCGTGGGTTCGAATCCCACCGCTGCCAGATGTGGTTTTAAACACGGCCAAACTGTTTGAGTGTGTGCACGTTCGCAGTGAAGGCTGGAAGTGAGAGAGTAAATTTAAGTCGTCAACTAGTCAGTATAATGTGTTCTTTGAAACTCACGGCAGACTCGTTGGTGTGACAGCAACACATCCCCAAGCTCGAATCTGCTCAGGAGCAAGTGTCTTTCCCACGATTAGATTGCAGCATCTTAAAGTCTGCACTGGAAGTCTCTCTCTGCCATTGCTCCTTTTAGCAAGAGCACCCTACTGAAACAGGAACAGTAAAGATTCACAATTAGAGTAGTAATACAGTGGGGAATAAACCAGAGTCAAGAGATGTGTTGATTATGTGAGTGAGTGTTGGTATGACTTTCTGACACAGAAATGAAAATAGCCTCACCATTTACTTTCCTTCACAAAATAAGGTATAGTGATAAAAATGCTGGCTTACTTTGTGTTCCAGAAGACAGGAAATGTTTAAAACCACATGATGGAGAGTAAATGGTAAGCTCATTTTTATATTTAGGGTAAACATCCATTTCATGCTTGCCACTTTAAGCCTTTATACTAAAGTTCACTTTTTTGTTCTTTTTTGAAGACCTGATAGTGCTGAAAGAAGAGACACATCAATGGAATGAAATGGAAGAGAAACAACAAGAAATAACGACTGATGAAAAACCCACACTCACTAAAAAGACTTTATCACGTGGAAGATCTCGGAAACCCAAGTCTAGGTGTAATTACAGCTGTAAACAGAGTAGAAAGAGTTTCTATCAAAAGCCAAACCTTGATGTTCACACTAGAAAGAAACCTTTCACTTGCAAACAGTGTGGAAAAAGCTTCTATAATACAGGAAACTTAACAGTGCACATGAGAATTCACACTGGAGAGAGGCCGTACACATGCCAACAGTGTGGAAAAAGCTTCTATTCTACAGGAAACTTGGCAGTGCACAGAAGAATTCATTCTGGGGAGAGGCTCTACTCTTGCCCTCAGTGTGGAAAGAGTTGTAAGCAAAATGGCAATCTTGAAACCCACATGAGAACACACACTGGAGAGAGAAGCTTTATTTGCACACAGTGTAGGAAAGGTTTTTCTCAAAAACAAAACCTTACCATCCACATGAGGATTCACACTGGAGAGAAACCTTACACATGCACAGAGTGTGGTAAAGGTTTCCCACATACAGGCTCACTCAAACACCACATGATAAGTCACACCGGACAGAAGCCGTTTGCATGTGCTCATTGTGGAAAGAGCTTCACAACGAAAGCTAGAATCATGAGGGGTGAAGATGTACCAGATTGTGAGAGTTTCTACAGGGCTGCATTGAAGCAAAATAACTCTATATGTGTTTCAAGTTATTATGAACTGAGAACCAAATTTGTGCACATTGCACACTGCAATCAAATGATCGGCTCTGAAAAGAGAATTAGAAAGATTAGGGAGGAGAAAATGTTTGGGGAGATGCAGAGAAAATTGTCCTACACTCTTAGATTGTGTTTTTGATCGTTCACACTGTTTGATTTTTACTCTCTTGAACAAACAGATTTGCCTCCAATTTTGGGCTTTTGTCTGCAGTTTCACAAAACTTGTTGGTGAATAAAAGTTGGTCGGTGTGAACTTGCAGTGACAGTGAGAGACTGATGCAGACTCCATAAAGCCCTGTTCAGACTACACAATGCCATTTGCCAGTTACCACAGATCAGATTTGTGTCAGATTATGAGATTTTGACTTGATCAAATCTTGATGAGTTGTGGGTAACAAATGAAGACTTTGGTTTCAAAACACAACACATTTATTTTGATGGACTGATTTTAGAAAATAAAAAAGTTTTCCTCATGAAGACAATTAAACTTTCTGTAAACAACTGGTTACCTTTGAAGAGATGTTCATGTGAAAACTCCCACATTACTACAAATAAATCTGTGTATGGGAAGCCCAGTATCTCTATTGTGAATGAGAATATGAGTGATTTGTTAGCCTACATGCTAATTCCAGTACTCAACAGATTACTGAAGCACTTCAGCTATCTGTTTATTCAAATTCTATATATATATATATATATATATATATATATATATATAGAATTTGAATAAACAGATAGCTGAAGTGCTTCAGTAATCTGATACTGGGTTTCCCACCTAACATTGCTGTTAGTAATAGTAGTCACACACACACACACACACACACATGTATATACATATATATATATATATATATATACACACACACACACACACACACACATATGTGTGTGTGTGTGTGTGTGACTACAATTACTAACAGCAATATTATGTGGGCAAAATAAAACTGAAAAAGGATAGTTTTTTTTTAAACTAGTATGGGTCTATAAATCTCATTGTCACCCTTTAAAAGGTTTAAAAACCAACATTTATAAATTTATATATTTATGAATGAAGAATTTTTTGCAAAGCATAAATGGTTATTAACTACTTAATGCTGTGTACAATTTTCTTTAGTCACATTAAATTTAACTTGTTTATTGCAAAAAGGGTTTACATGGATATTGACATGAGACATGAGTATATGCAATTATAGAAAACATGCTCAGTGTTTTCAATATGACTTTCACAAAATTGACAAGATCTCCTTATTATCAACTTTTAATCTCAGGAATTCTTTTGATGGATACACATCATTAATCATTTAAACTAAAGTTCTTTAATTTTGGGGAGAATTGAAAAAGAAATGTAAATTGTTGTCTTATTTTTCTAATTCCTGTGAATTAAAATCTTTAAAAATAAACGAGGTCTGAGCTGATTATGATGAAGCCTTTGAATAAGAATATTCATTTAAAACTTATTATTACATTTTGGATCTCTAAAAATAAAGATGGAAGAGAGAACATTACAGAATAGTGTGAAAGAAAACCTCTGATCAATACTGTGATGTTTTTAGGGATAATATTAATTATTGTTTTAAACTCTTTAGGGTGACAAGCAAAACCCTGTTTAAAGAATGGGTTGAATAATTTTAATTTAGCAAAAAGATTGTCATTTTAAGTTAAAAAAAATCAAATGTGATTATAATCTATTTTAATAAGTTTCCATTTAATTTTGATGAGATGACCAGCACCAAAGCCACTTCTTCCACCTGCTCCATCAATAGAATATCCACCTGTTACGTCAGATGCCACTGAACTCTTACTATAGTTCCCACTTTGATTTTGGCCACAACCAGCACCAGCAGTACCACCAGCTCCACCGACAACATGTACAGAGTAGCTGAAGCACTGGAAGCCACTGGACAATGTACCACATGCCCCCTCAAGCTACTTAATACAGTGATCTTTTTTTTTTTTTTTTTAGCTCTGCACAGTTGCCAGACATTCAGAATCGCTCCCCAGTAAACATCAGAAACAGGTGGATTCAACAAAGGTTGTACAACAAATAGTTGTAAATACTATAATATACAGCCCCTTTAAAAGTTTGGAATATTTTATAATGAGCTTATTGTGCTCACTAAAACGTTATTGCATTTTTAAATCACTGTTCTTTTATTAAATGTTCTTTAAAATATAATTTATTCCCGTTTAAGCCTGAATTGTACACATGATAAGTGTTCAGTGTCATGATTATGGAGGCCCAAGAGTACGGTGGCCGGGAAGTGCAAAACAACATTACAAAGTTTAAAACACTTTTACAAAGCTCGAGACAAATTTACATCTTGAAAAACATGTTTACATATCATCAGACACAATTACAGGGGAAAAACAATTTTACCAAGGACGAAACAAATTTACATTTTAGAAAACAAATTAACAAGACCTAAACACTTTTACAAATCCCGAAACATATTTACAATTAGATTCCCTACGGAAAGGGAATGTACCACACCCCGGAAGGGACGTAGAATGTACCACACACCGGTAGTGACGCGGGGTAAAGTTGTTGTTGTTGCTGGTGAGCACGGTAAATTCGCGCTGTGGAGTACATGGCGTAAACAAAGTTTATGGTGACCGAACATGGACAGCGGTCGAGGGTTGTTTTGCCCGTTTTGTGGCAAACACATGAGCAGCTTAACACGGTTTTGCTTTGCGTGTGGTCGGTGTTTAGAGTTTATAAAGGACGCGGAACAGACGGAAACACCAGACATGCTGCATCAATGTGTTCAATATTTTTACGAGATCCACTCGTACGCTGTAATCGTGAACATAAAGTCAAGTCTACATGGCATAAACCTCTGAACGACTTGAGATCGGTTTTAGTATCTTATCAGTCAACATGTGCCGTGCTTGAATCGTTTCCATGTACTTGCATTTACATGTTTCTATGCACTCTCTCGCTGATATTGTCTTAGAATAGCTCTAATATGTTTTATCGCAGTTAGTCAAACCATGATTTTCATAGTTGTAGACTTGTGGAAACCTGTCTACAAAGTCACACGCGAGCTGGATATTATTGATATTTTCCAGTGTGTGTGTGTTACATTCCAGTTCACTACCAGTGTGTGGTACATTCTACGTCACTTCCGGGGTGTGGTACATTCCCTTTCCGTAGGGAATATGTAATTGTAAATTTGTTTCGGGATTTGTAAAAGTGTTTTGCGTCTTGTTAATTGGTTTTCTAAAATGTAAATTTGTCTTGTTCTTTGTAAAATTGTTTTCCCTGTGTAATTGTGTCTGATGATAATTAAAAGTGTTTTTCAAAATTTAATTTTGTCTCGAGCTTTGTAAAAGTGTTTCAAACTTTATAATGTTGTTTTGCACTTCCCGGCCACCGTACAAGAGTGCTAGTTAGAAAATCAAAGACTCAAATGATCAATTTAATTATTGAAGCATAAAAATGTCTTTATTTTCTTGTCGGCTTAGTCCCTTTATTAATCTGGGGTCGCCACAGCGGAATGAACCGCCAACTTATCCAGCAAGTTTTTACGCAGCGGATGCCCTTCCAACTGCAACCCATCTCTGGTAAACACCCACACACACATTTACACACACACTCATACACTATGGACAATTTAGCCTATCCAATTCACCTGTACCGCATGTCTTTGGACTGTGGGGGAAACCGGAGCACCCAGAGGAAACCCACGCGAATGCAGGGAGAACATGCAAACTCCACACAGAAACGCCAACTGTACAGAGGCTCGAACCAGCCACCTTCTAGCTGTGAGGGGACAGCACTACCTACTGCGCCACTGCTTCGACCAGCATAAAAATGTACATGAATAAATCACAATTTAAATGGACAAATAAATAGATATGTTTGAAATGTGTTTTTAAATGTCATTTAATTAAGCAATAAAACAATGCATTACAAATACATTTTAAATCTATAAATAAATAGACACTTTTATTACTGTATTATTATTTAATCCATGTTTTAAAGGCTGATTAATCAAACAGTAAAAATTTGGGTTAATAAATCACAAAACACATTTTAAACAGCTTTTTAAATAAGCATTTGGCTAATGCTTTTCTCCCTATTTGCTGCTTGGTTTTCTTTTTCTTTTGCCAAATGCTTTTCTCAAATTGAAAATGAATCGAGTTAAAAAATGGCTCTGCTGTAATGAGCTATTCTTTTCCTCTGTTAGGAAAAAAAAGAAAGTTAACAGTTTTATCTAGATTAAATGACCGTGGTGATAAAGATTTTCTTGGAGACATAGAACAAAATGAACTTTGTATTTTGCCATCAGAGTTAGATTACTATTAAACAGAAAAAGCTAAAGGAGCTTTACAATCTAGAGTGAAATGGATAGAGGAGGGGGAGAAAAATTCTTCATGTATATTTTTTAAATTTAGTAAAGCAAAGGCAAGCTTCAAAAACTATTAATAAACGTAGCATAAATAACAATGTAAGTGAAGAGAAAACTTTGATTGATGATCACATCTATTCATGTTATTATGTAAATCAAAATTTAATGAGAGTGATTGTGACTTTTGCTTTTCAAAAGATAAAGTTTCTATTATTGATGACAGCTTCCGTAAAATGATGGAATCTGACATTGTTATCTCTGAACTTGATGTTGCTATTTCTCAAATGTTCAATGGAAAATCCCCAGGTACAGATGAAATCACAGTTGAGATTTATAAACATTTTTGGCCAGAGATGGGATTTTTAGTTTTTGAAGCACTTAAGGAATGTATAGAGGAAGAGAACTATCGACTTCTATGAAGCAGGGTTTAATCATTTAGTTCTAAAGCCAAGCAAAGGCCAATTATTTTTAGACAATTGGAGACCCATAACTCTTTTGTCCAATGATTTT